TCTCCAATTTTCAGGCTAAATTCATGTTTTTATAGATATTTTTGCTGAAGTAGCCATTTTAAAGAAGATTATATATGTATATTTATATATACTATACATATATATTTATATTTACACACACACACACACACTAGGTTGATTCCATTTACTATGAAATTAGTTTAATTAATGACATGTTCGTACAATCATGTTTAAGTTTCAGTACTAATTCTACTTTCTTGAATGAATCTATCTAGAACGAAGATGCGTTTCCTTTGTACAGGAATTGTTTTGACAGACCGCCACAGAAGATAGAGAAATCAATCAATACATATGGTTGGTACTTTTTACTACACAGAATCCCTATAACTAGGAAGGATTTTTAAAAATGTGAGGGCACATTTTATAAAAGATGTAAAAATTAATAGCAAAATCATGAAAAAAATCTGGATCGTAGTAATATAGAGAACAAAGGGAAGATATAGATACCTCTCATGACATGGTAGAAGACCAAGTCATGTTTAGTCCATGTGACTTTATTTTGATTTCTTTTTAATTGAATGTAGTGGGGTGACATAGGTTAATAAAAGTATATAGGCTTCAGGTGTACAATTGTATATTACATCATCTGTATATTTCATTGTGTTCATCACCCCAAATCAGGTCCTTCCATCACTTTTAACCCCCCCCAAGTCCCCTCTTACCTCACCCCCCTTTTGGTTTAGTAATCACCATACTGTTATCAGTGTCTATGAGTTTTGGTTTTATGCTTTGTGTGTGCTTTTTCTTAATCCTTTCACCTTTTTCTCCAGTCTCCCAACCCCTCCCCCTGCCCCTAGCTGTCAGTCTGCTGCTCTCTATATCAATGAGTCTATTTTTATTTTATTTGTTACTTAATTTTGTTTATTAGGTTTTACATATGAGTGAAATCATATGGTACTTGTCTCTTCTGCCTGGCTTAATTCACTTTGCATAATACTCTCCAGGTCCATCGATGCTGTTGCAAAAGGTAAGATTTCCTCCTTTTGTTGGCTGAGTAATATTCCATCATGTGAATGTTCCACAGCTTTTTTTAGCCACTCATCTACTAATGGGCACTTGGGCTGTTTCTAAATCTTGGCTATTATAAATAATGCTGCAATGAACATAGGGCTGCATATATTCTTTCAAATTAGTGTTTTGGGATTCTTCAGATATATTCCCAGAAGTGGAATCGGCAACTCATTAGGCAGTTTCATTTTTAATTTTTTGAGGTAACTCTATACTGCTTTCCACAGTGGCTGCACCAACCTGCACTCCCACCAACAGTGCACAAGGGTTCCCTTTTCTCCACATCCCCACCAATACTTGTTTGTTGACTTACTGATGATAGCCATTCTGACAGTTGTGAGGTTAAATGGAACTTATCTTTATTGTACACCCTAAGCTCCAAAAAGAAATTGACAAGGCAAGTAGCAAGAAACTAAAGTCCTGGATTCAAGACATTTGGAAACTAAAAGTCTCTGCATGTCTCCACTGTGACTGACAAGTAATATCTTATTCTTAAGAATATATTAACTATATCATTCATCTCCCACTCTTTCTATGTCTTCTCATACTTAGAGTTTAATTACATCTAGCCTCACATTGATAGAAGTCTCTTCAAATTATTTTACACTGCAAACATTTTCATAAGAGACTTATTATGAAATCAGAAGAAATTATTTATTTTAAGAAATTATCATTTTGCCTAAGGATCCTTTAATCTCTTCCTTAAGAAACAGTCATTTGAATTCGGCCTCTTCCTAAAGTCATTTGGCTGTCTCCCCATTCCTCTTTCCTTCCCTGGGTCTGTTTCTGAAATTCATTCTTTTCTCTTGTTTTAACACATCAACTTTCTTCTTCATTTTCTCACTGTCTCCTTTCCGTGTTACCAGTGTCGATTTGAGAGAGATCTCAAAGACATCTCTTCAAAAGCGATCTCTTCAAAGAGACCTCTGCTAAACAAAACTTTTATGATATTTCTGGATATAAAGAGACTAGGATGGCAGTTCACTCTTCTTTCAAGAGAGAAAAATTAAGATTTTTACATACACCTGATTGCCATTTTTAGGTAATTTTATAGATATACATATTTAAATGATTATAAGACCAGGAACTTTTATTACTTGTAAATATGTCTCCACATCTTGTAAGACTCAGGAATTTAAGAATTCAACAGCCCATCCCCCTCTTATCAGAAAATTCAACAATTTAAAATATGTTTCTTTTTAAGTCTTACTCCTTCTCAAGCCATACTCTAATATGACATGGCATTGTTACATAACTTATTGGTTGATCCTAAGTGAATAAGACTTATCCTCCACTTTTGCTGTTAAGAGTTACAAAGATGTTTCCTTTTTCAGATGGGAAAAAATCTAATAAGAACTGACATGTACATTAGCTTAACCCTACATTAAAATCAGTATTAAACTAAAAAAAAATTAACAATATAGAATTAAAGGACAAGTGGATGGGTATAAACTGAATAGAAGCATGCAAGTTATTTTTCTGTTTTTAAAAATGTTTGCATTGATACTTAAAAACGTACACAGGAAAGAGCAACACACGTAGAGAGTAGTACAACCATTTCTATTGAGTCCACACAGCTAAGAAGCTACCCATTACTCAAGATGTGTTTGGAGAATCTGAAAGTGATTTCTCGTTTTCTGGCATGAATCTCTAGCTCTTGCACTAGAAAACACACCTGTATAATCCACATGCCTCTTTTATTCTTCAAGGACAATTGACATGAGCCTGTGCAAAAGCTAACCTCTTTTTTGAATTTACTGGTACATTCCTATATCTTGTTCAGCATGTCATGAAGAAGTTTGTCATAATGCAGCACCACTTTCTTTTCTAACTTTCAACAAAACTTCATGTCATTTTTCCTTTTGTACAAATAAGACCCATCCTTTTTACTTTTGGTAACTAGCTGTGACAATTTTAGGTCTTTCCTAACATTTTTGAAAGTTGTGTTAAATATATATGAGAGTTGGTCTACAACTAATTTTACTTGTGCTAGCTGATATAGTACCTCTTATGCTGACAGGGTGATACAACATGACACTATTTCAGTTTAAGGAAAAAAGTAACCACCCTTTTCCATGTGTCCTGCTTATATAATAGATGACAACCCCCACCCCTTCCATGGAACTAGACTGTAGTCCTTCAAGTTACTTAGTTTCCTATCTCAGAAGAAGGTTGGGGGACAACATGTTTAACTTTTTATTATATTTAAAATTCTCTTCAGGTATTCATTCCAATCATTGTAGCAATAGCTCTATCCCTCCTAAACACCTACAGAACAACTGAGGCCTGAGCTCTAGATGAGGTCAATTTCTGGAGACTGGGGACTCCATCAGAAAAAGCCCAACAGCAGTAGCCTGCCAGTGCCATGACTTTGCCAGCACCCAGGGCTGCAAAGCTGCATTCTGTTCGCCTGCTCTGGTCCAATTTCAAACATTCTTCCGAAGAAGGGCTGAGAGCTCTTTGCTCCAGATCAAAACATCATCATCATGTCAAGATAAAGCTATGGGCTTCCATTTTATCCATATAGTTTTCACTGTTCCACGCCAACTTCAAGGCAAGTTAAGGCAAGTTCAGAAGCTATGTGGTTAGGTGGCAATGATATGTTTAAAATACCTCGTAAATGTCGGACTTTCTGAAGGAACTCGTATTAGTTTCATTACTAGTAAAGGAAATGACCTGTGTGGGTACATTACACAGAATATCATCTGGTTGCCAACAGCAGGTTGGTTAGAAACACTACAATTCATTCCTCTGTTTTACCCCATAACGAAGCAATAATTTTTGGTCAATTCATAATTCGCTTCATATAAGCACAGTCATCGAATCTTCCAGGGCAACATTTTGCCTCTTTGCTTGGCATTGAGATGCAGGTAGCATTCCAATCTTTCTTACTTCTCTTTATTGTAATTAACCCCCCACCCCCACCCCAAACAAGCTGAAATATACCAGTCAATGTGAACTCATAGTAAAAAAAAACTGAGATCTATGAGACTGCTTTCACTCCCAGCAGTTAACCATTCCAATGCCAGGTACCCAAATATCTGTTCACTATTTTTTTTTCTTGTTTGTTTTTCACGCGTGCAACTGTTCTCAATGATTATCAAACTTGCACCGGGATTCCTGGATTTCCAGATCAAAAGTTTACACAATCCAGGTTTCTTAGGACCCCCACCTCCTCTCTCCTCTGCTCTCCATACACATTCCCATTTAAACTTCTACCATTCATCCATCAGCTCTTATTTGGAGAAAAAGCAAGGGCAAGATGCCAGTGAGGGGTGATCAGCCCCAGGTACCACACACCTTCGGAATCAAAAAAACAAACAAACAAACAAAAAAGTCAAGTTCAAGTAGGTGTCTGTGTTCAAAAGTGCCCTGATAGCCCTAGCCTCTCCGCCGCTGACACGGATCCCGCGGAGTCCACCCCAGGCAGGGGCTACAGGAACCTAGGGCTTGGGTGGGCGCTTTCGCCTCTCCACCACCCTGGGTGCAGCGGGTAAGGTAGTGAACCCAGGGCTGAGTTGAGGGAGCAGCCACCTAACGCAGAGAATCCGGAGCCCGCAAAAGCTCGGAGCCGGGAGTCCGCGCGGAAGGAAGTCTTGGGAAAGCGAATTCTTATTCCAACATCTGCAGCGCTTGGGATGCGCGGGCAGACGCGCGCGGTCCATCCAAACACTCCCGGGCGGGGGGGGGCAAATCAGGACCGGTCCAGGGCCACAGGAGGAAGCTGTGGGCGAGCCGAGGACTCCGGCCCCGGGTTCCGAAAGCCCCCACCGCACCCCTCACCCTCCAGGAGGCAGGCCCA